TAAGCACGACAGAGTTAGTAGAAGACTTGCTTTCACTGTAAGATTCCGGTCTAACGCCTTTTAGTAAGCGCGTTTTAATGGGGAGTAGATGACAAGAACACTTCTTAGCTAAAAATCAAGGAAAATATGGTCTTTTATTCAGTTTCATTGCTGTCAATAGTGTGCGTGTGGGCTGTATGCATGTGGTAGTTGTGAGTCGGTTGCCATGCGAGAATGGGACGTTTACGTCACGCCTCTTGAAGGCCCAGAAGACACTGGCCAACTGGTTGACATGCTTGAATGGGATTTGGACTCGCTTCATTGGAGCAGAAAAAAACGAAGTCTGAGACCAGACGGAGGCCGAGCACTTACGCGGTTGGTTGGCCACAGAGTGACACTGTTTCTGCTGGTAGGCGCCGTCTGGTGAGCACTCCGGCATGAAGTGTTGCTGGAGCGGCCGACCGTGTCGAAGGAGCAGTTGGTTTTTTAGTAGAGCCGAACGTCTGGCCTCGGCGCAGCCGACCGGATCTCGTCTGTACGCCTCTGTGTTGGAGCAGTGTTGTCGCCAAGGCGAGACAAGAGGGTGGGCGGGTTAGGCAAGAAATAAAGCAAGTGAACCGGAATTGTCACACTTGCATCAGGTGGCTGTGAACAGGTCTGCAGCACCGGTCATTTCGGCCCACAGAGACGGGGCATTAGAAAAAAGTGTATCAACGCAACGGTACTACTGCCTGTGAAATTAGTAGTCTATGCGAATTGCGGAAACTGGCTGTCGTTTGTAGCATGATTTACTCGCAATATTCGGACATTATTGAAATTCTACTCCTTTACATGTCATCACATCATCAATGCTCTGAATGACTGCTCGGATCAACTTCATCGTCATAAATATCAAACGACTTCTGATCACTTGGCAAAAATGAAATTCGCTGACACAATTTGGTTGCTCTCTCCACGACGCTCCTTCGGGCTTCAGCGGCTACATGTAGCCATTTACAAACATGTCCACGACAAGTAGAAGTTGTCACAAAAATGTCGACCTTTGCATCGGTAATGTAGTATTATGCACAGGAAATAAGGTGAATTCCACTAAACTCCGAGGCATTACTAATCAGAAATTCAGTAGTATTTATTATGATTTATTTTGAGGCTGAAACCAGATTTTCAATTAACCCTCGGTCTATCTCGCTCGCAGAGCGTGAAGCGTGCACTGATGATTGAATTGCCAACAATGCAGAAGGTAGCCCTTAACTGCAAAAAAAAGTGTCACTACCGAAGATGGATTTCCGCTTCGCCATCATCATCAACAGTCTCATCATCTTATCCGACCCAGGATAGTTGGAACTCTTATTCAAGCTTTACTGATGGTCTCGAAATCCACTTTATATGAATGACTATGATTGGTTCAAGTCACATGTCAACCTGGAGGCATGTGTGTGTGCGTTTATGGGCTTTTGTGTGTTCGTGGGTGTACGAAACCAGCAGTGATGGCTCGCAATAATTGGAACAGAAAAAATAGCGTCTATCCTTGGCCATCAAGGTTCCTATGAGGAACACATGAAGGCACATAGACACACATATACAGACACATACTTCGAGGTTGATATATGCCTAGATACCTCATAAAAGAGCTACCGGATTTGGGGAGTATGGTTGTAAGGAGGATGTCCATCGGACGACGAGCGAGAGCCTAGCAAGTCTTCATCGGAATGGAGAGAGATTGCGTCGAAACAGCATCAACAAGAATGTTGCAATAAAGCCAATCGACAGATGGACAAGAGGAATCTGCTCGAAATGCAAGTACACTCGACACTCAAGAAACAAGAGATTCCTTTAAAGCAATCACCAATTCTGGGTTGGCTAAAATACAGTAAGTACTCTTCGAAAGTATCCGTAGACGATGTTATAGACGACCGTTTTCACATTTATTTTCTCACCCAGTTGTCCCATTTGATTCACTGAAAAGACAACTGTGAGGCTTGGATCCTTCATAAATAAAACCGAGGAGCTCCTCTGACCTTTATGTCCGTCTAAAGGCTCGAAAATGCGTTAGAATGCAGGTAACCGGCGTTAGAGTGGAAAATCAGGTCACTTTCGCATTAATTTTTACAACAATTTACCGACACTACTGATTTCCTCTCAAGTAGTATAGCTGGCGCCGACTTACTTGCAGCGCCGGTGGAGAGA